ATCTATCTATCTATCTATCTATCTATCTATCTATCTATCTATCTATCTATCTATCTATCTATCTATCTGCCTGGATCACTTATGAATGGAAGGAACAAAAGCCTGTAAAGCTTTAAGCCATTACATCTACATATGTATTATTTTCCACTCTATTTGTAAAGACAAATGTCTTGATTTATAACATTTAATGTCCAAGTGTTTGGTACATAAGGAGAATTTTAAAAGATGGTTAGGGATTCTTGAAGAAAGTGTGGTTCCCTGATAGCAGTGGCAGTAATTTATTAAGTCTTAAGGGAAAAAAATATCAGGACCTATTGATACTGATGGAAAGAAAACAAATGGCAGAAGTTGAACTCAGTTAGTGGGCATATATTAGTTGGAGAGAAACATAACGATAAAATTATCATCATATTATGCTTCAACATAAACATACACATTTATGGACATATAATGCTGGATATCTAGATCAGGACATCTGGATACTGGTGATCTTTTAAGATTATAAACTCTAAAAACTGTACTATCAGTGAGACTATCACTGCATACAGAATTAAAATTATATAAGCAAACCAGATATCTTGGCACGTGCCTGTAATCCTGTCCCTTGGGAGGTTGAGGTAAGAAAACTGTTGCAAATTTAGGTCTAGCCTTTTCTACACAGTTAGTTCTAGGCCAGCCTGGTCTAGTGTGGGAAGCTATCTTTAAAAGCATACCTCATAAGACCAAAATGAAATTAAGTAAACATAATTTAAAAAATCTAATTCTACCCAGTCCCAATGGATACATCTATTAAGTACTCCTGCAGCAAGACTCAGGGAACACTGTAGAAGAGGGAGAAGAATTAATAAGAGACAGAGGATTGGGGAGTTTGCTGTGTCTTCTAGTAATATCAGTAGATACACCCATAAAATCTGACTGCATAAACATGAGCTGGCCACGTCACCAACAGACATGCCCATGAGGCCTCAACCTACACAAAAAACTTCAGGAATCTAAGGAATGCCGAGAAACAGTCTTTTCTAGAAAAGAGCACATCAATTGACTATTTCATACAGACTGTCAGCCCTGAAAACATACATACAAGTGATATTATATGGACTGAACAGGTTATATTTAGATATATATGTGTAAATATATGCATGTAACAATGAAAAAGGGAGACATGAATTTGAAAGAGAGCAAGGAGGGGTATATGGGAGAGTTTGGAGAAGAAAAGGAAGGGAGAAATGTTGTGATTATAATCTTGAAAAGAAAAAAGAAAGAAATTCTATTAAAGAACCGTATGTATTTGTGCTGCACTGGGCCACACAACACTAATTATACTGTTGATAAATACAAATGTATTAAAAATATAAACTCTAGCCTGGCATGGTGGTACATGTCTTTAATTCCAGGAGGCAGAGGCAGGCAGATCTCTGTGAGTTCGAGGCCAGCCTGGTCTGCAAAGGGAGTCCAGGACAGCCAAGGCTACACAGAGAAACTCTTTGTCTCAAAAAAACCAAAAACTAAATAAAGACAATGTACTTATAATCCCAAATTACCTCTGTATTTCTATGTTTTCACATAAATTATCAATAAACGAAGACTTAGATTCTTACTGGATCTAGTAGGTAAACTTCAGTGTGGATATCCAACTCTTTGAAATACATGAAAATGAAACCTCACTTAATTCTGCCGCAGGCTCTCTCCTGAGACTCTTCCACTTATGCCCCCCCACACACAGTTCTTATACTCTGTATGTCCACTCTCCATTTTCTTCAGTCCCAGAAGCTGGTGAGATTAGATAAGAAATATATTTTCACATGATTTACTACCAAAAAACACTTTTCTTTTTTGTTTTTTAGAGACGAAGTAGAATGGTTAGGTGTGAGTACTTTATTATGATGCAGAAAGATCACTAGAGTGTTACATGCTCTGTGAGACCAGCTATGAATAGAAGGTGGCACGTAAGGCAGAAACAAAAAAAAAAAAAAACAAAAAACAAAAAAAAAAGCATCCACAAAGCAAGAGGGACTTTCATGGAATAATTTAAACAAACTGGGTAAAAGTAGACATCTGTCCATATTTAAGCACTATTGCTAATTTCTCACTGCTTAAGTCATCCAGTAAGAATTGTTCCATGAGCTGAGAGGGACTGGAGAAATGACTTGGCAGTTAAGAACACTGGCTGCTATTCCAGAGGACTCAGGTTCAATTCCCAGCACCCACATGGCAGCTCACACCTGTCTGTAATTCCAGGTCCGGTGCTTCTGACACCCTCACACAAACACACATGCAGGCAAAACACCAGTGAACATAAAGATAAATTAAGAAAAGCAAGATTTATTCCTGACAAACACAATTCTATTGCAATCCAAGCTTGTGTAAAAAGATCGGAGCCCATTCCTAATCTTCAAGATCAAACCTCTAGTGCTGTGATAACAAAACCTTAGAGTGTCTAAGTTCTGCACTTACTTTCACACGGCTTCTCTGGTTGAGCTCCAAAGCTCATATCAAAGGCTCCAGCCGCAGGTCCTGCAAATTACAGTGTCCTAAAAGCACTGCTCCCTCTGCTGGTTTAGGGTAGAGATGAAGAATGCTATTCCTTCAACTCTAGAAGAAATTCTAGATTTACAATTTTGGAATAAGCCCTGAAGCAATTCTGAAATTACAAGAGAAAGTTAGGCTCAAAGTTCTGTGTTGTTTTCAGTAGCTACAGCTGCCTAACCTAGGCCTGCTCTTCTTAGATATTGCCTCTCCCTTCCGACCCCTCTGACATAATCCCTCCTATTCTAGAGGTTAAGTTCTTACTCTGAAATGGAGTGAAGCTAAATCTAGATTTGATTACTCCCTCTCTCCAAAGAGAAGTGCAGCTGAGGTCGGAGGTCAGTAAAAACTGGCATTTTAAATTATTTTTCCCTAAATCACTGTAGATAACCTCCTACAAGACAAGAGCAGCCCTCTGAGGAAGCGCATGTCTTCTAAAATCCACTGCAGTTTAAGCTTTTCCTAAAGAGCACTTTTTTGAGTCACTCTATGGCTTCCAAGCACAGTACATTCAACTCAAACTTGAGTTTAAAAAGACCTGAGAACAAGTATGTAAAAGTGCTTGCACACAAGTCTGATGACCTAAGTCCAATCCCCAGAGCAACTCCACAAACCTGTCTTCTGACATCCATGTGCATGTGTTCTCACACACTCATACAGTCACACTCTCTCACTTCTATAAAGGTTACTCAGGATTCTGTACATATTTGATCCTTAGAGGAGGTAATAACCCTCATCTTCAAAGGAACAAATGCAACATACCAACTATGAGGCAGTGATGTAAGGCAAATCTGAAATTTCACTTATCTGAAATCATGGCAAAGCAAATGACTGAGACGTATTCAAGGACCTAGGTCTCTCACACCCATCCCTTTTCACAACAGAGGCCAGCACTTGTAAATTGGAATTAACTCAGGCGCTGGAAAAACTAAATATTCTCAGGAAATTAAATCTAGGGATTCTGTATATAAGGAAGCAGGGAAGGAACCCTGAGGAAATGAACTGAAGGAATGCTGAGGAGCAGGTGGAAGCTGGCCCCACTCATGTCTCTGTTGAGCCAGGTGACAAATTGCTGACAAATGAATGGCAGGACACTGGAACAGTGCACAAAACCCGAGGCCTGAGCCCCCTGACTCCCAAGTGCACCTATCAAGCTCCAGAATGTGTTCCTGGAGCTCCATTTCTGGAAGTGCCTACAGGGAGACAACACAAGGCATAGAGAGAGTGTCTCAATGGGAAGACTAACAGCAGAGTGACATCTTTACGTCACGCTCAGGCAGCACAGGGTAGACCATACAACCTATTCTGATGAGGACAGCTGCAGGCTGGGGGACAGCAGGGCAACAGTTCACTACTGTACTTTCTTTTGAAGCTCAGATGTGTGTGGTGTCAAGACAAACATATACAAAGAAGCAAAAGATGAATATTTATTCCAGAAAATTAACACATTAAATATGGAGTTAAACTTGTCCAAGCCAACTTCATAAATTCTTTAATCTTTTATTAAACAAAATTTACAACCCAAAACATCACACTATGATGGTAATAACTTGGGTAAGGAGAGGTAGAGGGTAACATCTATGTTTGTGGAATGGAGAGTGAGTCCAATCCCAATTTCAGATCTTCCAGAGTTCACAACAGAAATGGCTGATAAACAATTAAACACAAAATGTTACTGACAACAATATAATGAGCAAAGGCCATTTCAAAACTAAAAGTGACCTCAGAAACAAAATGCTTCTGGTATTTAGCCAGGAGTAAGCCTTACCCGTTTGCTGTCTTCCAAAACTGAGCCTGCCAGGTTTTCTTTTTCATTTACTGAGGCCATGTCCAAACAAGTCTGTAGGTGATTAGGACCATTTGGAGCAAAGGCAGCAAAGGAAGGAAGGACAGAGGTAACATGCCAAAAAGGGAAGTTAAACAGCAAGCAAAGGGCTCCTCACAGTGCACTCCTAACAATGTTAAGGCAGGCCCATCCGAATGAATGGAAACCTAAGGGAGGAGCAATTTTTTCTTCAAAAGTTTTCCATTTCAGCAAACTTTTGGCTGTTTCTCCCAGAGAGCCATCAGCTGCCCAGAAAAGTAATACAACACAATAACTGAAGTCAGCCGTTTCCCTCCCCCCCACATTCCAGAAATGGCAGCCTGAAAGCCAAAATCAAAGCACACTTTGTGGTGAGCCAGATAGACATTTGACTTTAATGACAAAGAGAAAATAATTTGGCCAAAAATTTTAAAAAATTAACAGAAAATATTTTTTACAGATATGTAAAGAAGTTAGGATTTATTTGTCTAATATTTTATAGGGAAAGGAGTGAGGGGGAAAAGAGACAATTTTTTTTTTTTTTTTTTTTTTTTTTTTTAGCTCCCACAAACATTTACTGTGAAGGTTCCAGATGAGATTACCAACTCCTGGATCACCTGGGGTCCAATTTCTACAATCCAATGATTCATCCATTTAGTCCTGGCTGAATGAAGTCCTGGCTGTTGTAGTCATGAACACTGGACCTTGTGTGGTCTGGGATGACATCAACTGCAGCTGTTTGTTCAGGCATTTCCTGAGGGTCCAGATTGCCTCCAACTACCTGATCCCTTGAGGGGGACCCTGAGGTTGGAGTTTTTACCAAATTCAAAGCACTGTCATTGCCCTCACTTACTTGAGGAACCGCCATTTCTGAGACAGGGACATTCAGAATTTCTACTGGTGGTGATCCCATCTCCAAGGAACTACATTTAAGAAAGTCATTGGGCTCAGAGAGTGGAGAACATGGTTTCTCTTTTAGAACTCCAGATGTCCGTGTGACAAAATCAACAAGATCTGGAAGGCAAGGAGATGGTCCAAGGCCTGAAGGACTGACTGTTGTGGATTCCATTCTGAGTAAATCTTTCTGTAGTTGTGATGTTTCTTTTGCTTCCTCAGACAACATTCTTCCAGCCAAAAGATCAAGGGCCTGGTGTGTTCTCTCACCAACTAAGTCATGGTCACCATTTTCCATAGGGTGTCCAGGTTCCACACACTTAGTGGTGATTCTCCCATTTTTGAAATTAGATGAGCTTTGTTCACCTTCTGTTTCAAAATTAAGCACCAAAGTTTTGGAAGATTCTAATGGAGACCCAGAAAAAGATAGTACTGGTTCAAAGTCATTGGGACTGGAAGGATTACACACTACAGATAACACAGAATTTTCTTCACACATTTTCTGTGACAGGGCAGTTGGTGATCTATGTGTTCGTTCTATCTGAGTATTGCAGAAATCAGCATGCACATCCCCCAGATTCCTCAGAGCAGCAAGCTCCTCTACCTTTAAGTGTGTAGCTTCAAAGTTTTCCAAAGCTTTGCTTTCTATTGTCACTGTTAGCTCCGGACAGTTATCTTGCAGCTCTACAGCTTCCACTCCAGGTTTCTCTGGGCTCCTTTCTGGTTTCTTTGGGCTCTCCCAAGTCTCTTGTCTCTTTAAACACATACTTGATGCAGCTGGGGACAGCAGAAGTAATTCAGGCACATCTTTTGGATTCTGGAGCAACGATGGAAATGAGTCTATTTTTGACCTTTTGGGAGAGAGAGACTGACTCAAGTCAATTACTACTTTACTTGTATTTTCATGTCCTGTCATCAGTTCCCTAGACTGTCCCACTTCTTTGTCATTTGTTGACAATTTGGGTTGTCCTATTTCTTCTTCCCATGTGTTTCTGTTGCCATGGTTCAAATTAGAATCTTCTGTGCTATGGAGTCCAGTGTTGGCACCTGCTCCTTCTTCAACTGCTTCCTTTCCTTTTACTTCAGTGTTTCTCTTCAGTTTACTTTCTCTACAGTCCTCTGATTGGTACAGCTCTTGGCTCGTGTTTTGGTTATCTATGAGCTTAGTTTCTAGCAACTTCTGAGACCCCTTGGTATGACAGTATATATCTGACAGATGAGAAGCTGAGTCTGTACCAAGTGGCCCTGGCTCTCCCAGGTCAAATTTGATTTTCCCCTCTGGAGGTCTCTCCTTATCAGTGTCATTCTGGAAGGAACTAGAAGTCCACACAGCCAAAGTGTCTGTCTTTGGGGTAGCCATTTCATAAGGCCTATTTTGGTATAATCTTGTCAGAGGCTGTAGGAAGCTGTAGCTGCTGTCTCTGCTTTTGGGGTCTATATGATCTACAACTGACCATTTCCCTATGGACACCAGTCCTTTTGAAATGGGATTTTCAAGTTTGCTGATTATAGGAGGAGTGACCAAAGCACTGTCTTGAGGCAGGTCCTCTGGGGTCACACTACTGTTCAGAGCAGAAGTGGAGGAGGTATCTGAGCTTTCTGTTTTAGAGAGGCTGTTGTTTTCCCCATTGGCCAATGGACTACTACTCAGCTTAGTCTCATGTGCCCCCTTTCCACCACTACTGTAGAATATGTCATAGAGGTCCTTAGCATTGGCTGTGGCTAAGCACGAATTTCGCTTTTCTAATTTTTTGGCCTGTTCACTGAATACACTTGAGAGGGGTGGTGGAGGCCGTACTAACATAGAGATCAGGGTCTGGTTCCGATCACTCTCACTCACCCCAGGAGCTGTCTCATCAGAAGGAATGGTAGCTGGTTGTTCTGCAGCCATGAAGGTCACAGGCAACCCTGGCTTCAAAATGTTAGGACCTTGGAAGCCAAGACCGAGAGTCTGAGATACAACCAAATTGGATTTTCCTGGAGTTAAGACAGCATTTGTTTGAGCAGGAGATGGGGTAGAAAGATGAGGTATAACCCGGGGTGGTGGTGGTGGAGGTGGAGGTGGAGGTGGAGGTGGTGGTGGTGGCGGTGGAAGTAGAGCCAACATTTGCTCAGGTACTTGGGATGGCTCATTCTTTTCAGCCGGTTCTATTTTTTCCTCTGGAGACCCTTTTAGAACTACCTCTTCTCCTCCAAAAGCTTTGGAGATGATATCTGGAGGCAAGAGAAGATCCGATGAGGACTCTTTAACCACTGGCAGAGGCTTGGCAGAGGTTCCAGAGGACTTGATAGACAGAAAAGTGTTAAGAGGAGCAGGCTTGCTCACTGTGGCTGAACCTGATTTGCGGAGTACTGTGGATGGGATAGGCAAGTTGGGTCGGATCTTAGTCTGTGTAGAAGTTGTAACAACAGGTGTCCAGGGGCTGGTATGTGCAACAACAGTTTTCCCAGAAAGCTTGATTTTGATGGGCTTTGCCTTTCCAACTTCAGCTTTTCCATCATCTTTGTCCTTAGCGTTTTCCATGGTGTCTTCCTTAGGGATACTTGGAGCCACCACTGAACTTTTTTCTTCTTCTTTTTCTGGCTTCTTCCAACTGAACTTTCCAAAAGAAGATGCTATTGATGATTCCTTCTTTACCTCTTCTTTTACTTGGAGTTTGAGGCTAGCATTTGTTTTAATTTCACCTTTCTCAGGGGAATTCCCACCCTCAGAGAGTTGGTCCTCAAGCTCTTCAGAGGCTTTGTCATCTTCCTTTGCTTCTTTCATAATTTTTGCCTTTTTTTCTATCTTCTCCTCCTTTGGTTTCTCACTAAGTTTGCGCTTTAGCTCACTTTGCCGCCGTCGCTCTGTCTCTAGGACGACAGCCAAGCCAGCTTGGCGGTCCAGATTTCTTCGTTCTTCATACAATGGGTTTTCTTCCACATATTTCTGGAAAGAGAAAAGATAAAGTCTCAGTAAATTGTCAAATTGATATGTGAGAAAAAAATTTGGTCATTGCCTCTGCTACAACTCATTTAAGAATAAATCACTGGGACAATAACTTCAAGAATTAGGACTGAGAATTTCCTAGTGTTAGATGGGATATGAATGTTGGCAGCTTTCTAACTCTGATGTTTGACAAGGTCAAAGGAATTAGTACAGAAAAGTGGGGAGCTGTGCAGATAGATAACTGCAGAGACCAACCTTATATTTCTCATTGTGCTGGTGACCCTTCACATGTTGCTCTCCAGAAATTGGATCCCCCAAAAACTCCTCACAAAGCTGGCAGTAAAATCCAGTGATGGGAATCAGAAACTCAGAGCCTGAAAGAAATAGAAAAGAGGAAGCAAGCCCTTTCCAGCAAGGATGACAGAAACAAAAGGCAAATCCCATCACTCTTTTGCAGTAAGTACTTGGGAGTCAGAAGTGGCATTTAGATGAATCCCAAGGACATACTTTTTCTAACCTATGGCTTTAACTCTATACAACTATTCTTCTTACCACTTGGGAACACTGCCTAACCTGGTTAAATCAGTAGCACCCTATCCTAGATCCATTCCTTAAGCTCTAGCAAGCACCAAGCATCTTAGAAGAGATTTAGAAACCATGTTCCCAAATAGTTAATTCATTCATCTGCATGAGGAGAGCTCTCATGTACTCAGGGACCATCTCTAAACATAGGTACTAAGCACTCAGTGACCATCTCTAAGCAGATACAGCAAGAGTACTGACTATTTGAAAGGCAAGAAACAAAATTTAACGACATTTGACTTCTCACTTTACTTCTTAATAAAAACACTTCAAAATATTTTATAGATTTTAGTTGAAAAGGCAGGCAGGAAGGAAACTTACCTTTTGCAGGAACAGTTATCTTGTCAGTTCGCTTTCCAGTATCTTGCTTAGCCTCGCTCTGGGTCTTTGAAGCCCAAGGTCTGTTGTAGGGATCCAGTGTCTATTTGCAAGAGGCAGAGGTGCTCACACAACAGCACTAAAATGTCAATGACCCACTTTCCTCTTTTTCTTCCCCTAAATATCAGACCAGGGAACCAGCAGTCCTTAGCTCCCCACCCCCTCCCACCAACTCTGCCAACCGCTTAAACCGAATCACCTGTGGAAAAGGTAAAAACATGTTAGCTCAAGTACTAGAAACAGAGCAATAAAAAATTCTGGTACTCAAGGAATCAAGAGACAGCCTCACTTACACTTGTATGGTGTTTAGTTACAGCAGGTCCCCTGAACTGAATGGGGATGGTATCTCCTTTGTTGTTGTCTCTTGGCTCTTCAAACTGGGGCTCCTGCCCATTTGAGAATTTGGATTTTCCAGTGTTGTAATGCAGATGGGAGCACAGAGGTTGGAGGGAATGAGAGTGACAGGAGAAACAACAGTGGTCAGGATACCTACCTGTGTGTGCTTCTTATTGTGCATATGGGTGAAGAAGTCAAACATGGTCCCGCAGATGGTATTGCAGTCTTTGCACCAGTGATTGCCAGCATCATAATACTCATAAGCAGCAACAGGCTGATCAGACTGCTTAGCAGTTGGCTGGAGGCTCTCAGTAGAATTAGGGTTCTTTATACAGGAGTTTTCATTTACGTTTGATTCCTAGAGAAAAAACTTACACTTATAAAAAAGGTGGTCACAATCATAGGAATTATGACCATAAGTCTAGTGCCTAAAATAAAAAGCTATATAAGATGGGGAAGAGTATTAATAGAACCTGTATTCAAAGCTCAAGAATATTAATTAGGCCCTACAGTTTTTTTCACATCAAGATCATAACTACTAGGGCTGGAAGAGGTGGCTTTTGCACTGGCTACTCTTTTAGAGGGGACCAGGGATCAGTTCCGGTATCCACATGGTACCTCACAACTGCCTGTAACTCCTCTTCTGACCTCTGTGGGTATTGCATGCATGTGATGCTCAAACATACATACAAGCAAAAATAGCCATACACATAAAAAATAAAATCTTTCTAAAATAAATAGCTAAAAATTCTCTAGAAGAATACCAAGATCAGAATGAGGTCAGGGAGATTGCTCAACTTAAGCCCAATGATCTGAGTTTCATTTCCAAAATCCATGTAAAAAGCTAGATCTGGTGTCATACATTTGTAATCCCAGTCCTCTTAGGGTGAGACGGGAAGCAGAGCCATGAGAAATGCCTGAAAACTCATGGGCTAACTAGCCTGTAAATCAACACACAGCAGAAACACCAAGAAAGACCCTGCCTCAAAAACAAAGTGGATGGAGAAAAGTGACTCTTGAAGTTGTCCTCTTCCCTCCTCACATGTGCTATCACATATACACACATCCCTAAATAAAATGTAATTATATGTATGTATACACATACACGTTATATACATATATGTGTATATACATTCATATTATACACACACATATATATAATTTTGTTTTGTTTTGAGACAGGGTTTCTCTGTGTAGCCTCGGTTGTGCTGGACTCACTTTATAGACCACCCTGACCTCTAGCTCACAGAGATCCGCCTGCCTAAGTGTTGGTATTACAGGCATGCACCACCACACTCAGCTTACATATATAATTTTTTAAGAGAATATTCAAGATGGTAGAAAAATTTTACTGCCTTTGAGGAAAGGAACTGGAGAACAATGGTAAGGAGTCATTTCACTATACCTTTAGTAGATGCTAAATGTCTTACCTATGAAAACAAATACATTAAACTTAAAAGCCAAAATGACAACTAAAAAGAAATGAAATGTAAAAGATAGTTAGTGGGTTAAGAATATGAAGAAAATAATGAACAAGTCAAATCAGTTTTTTCATATATCCTAGAAAGCCAGAGCTGCACATAGATAAAGCAGACAGTAATTTCTATGGAATGACCAAAAGGAATCAGGTATTTCTAAACTGCCTAGAAGTCACCAATAGAAGTTAATAACTTTAAGCTAACAATTAATTCTATTTATTTTTTCCAATGTGTGTGTATATGCAGGTTTGTGTGTGCTATGGCGTGTGTCAGTTCTTGCCTTCTATGTTATTAAAACAAGAACTTTTTTTTTTTAAGATTTTATTTTATTTTACATATATAAGTGTTCTATCTGCATTTACACCTGCCAGAAGAGGGAATCAGTTCACATTATAGATGGTTGTGAGCCACCATGTGGTTGCTGGGAATTGAACTCATGACCTTTGGAAGAGCAGACAGTGCCCTTAACCACTGAGCCATCTCTCCAACCCAAAAAAGGAACTCTTTTGTTTCTGCTGTTATGATGTATATTCCAGGCTAGGTGGCCCTCTAGCTTCTGGCTCATTCTTCTGTTTCTCCCATCTCATCTTAGAAGTGCTGGATTTATATGACACTGCATCATACTTTTTACAGGCTCTGAGGACTGAACTCAAGTTCTCCAGCTTGTACAGAGTAAATTCTTCTACCTGCTAAGCCATCTCCCCAGCCTGAATTCTCTTTTAAAATAGAACTTCCCAATAGTAAGCTATTGATAATAAATGCTTTTATTTATGTGAATTAGTCACTAGGTTGAGAAAAAAGGCATTTAGGAAATGAGAAGTTTGATTGGATGAATTTTAGTAAACAAGAAAGAAGAGACATGCAGTGAGGCCACAAGGTAGGTCAGGGAGTCTCCCAATCACTAGCTTTGTGTGAAGAGAGTATGAGAATGTTGTCCTACTGAGTGTGGTGGTACATGCCTTAATCTCAGCACTCTAAAGCCAAGGGGATGTCTGTGGGTTCCAGGCCAACCACAGCTACTTAGTGAGATCCTCTTTCAAAAATATATTTGAAAGCCTCAAAAAACAAAAACAAAAACCTCTACAGCAATCCTTAGGGGGAAAATAACCAAAAAGTTGGATCATTACCTTGTTGTTAGAGGAACCATTTGAGGGTGACAACTCTTTTTCTGGGCTCTTAGATTTTTCTCCTTTTTCAGGCTTCTCTGCATACTCTTTACAGTCATTTGAAGATTTCAGAGATTTATCAAAGATGTCAATTCCCAATATCTGAGCCACTTTGTCCAGTTCAGACTGCTTCTTTTCTGCCTCTTCAGTCTCTTTGTGTAGCTCTGCAATATCCTTCATGATACTGTCCTGCAGTCGACTCACCTCCATCAGAAGTGGATCTTTGTGACCATCCTTCTCCCTTCGCTTCTTGCGCAACATCTCCCCTGAATGGTCAAATGTTTACCAAAAGAAATCCAAGGAAGAAAAACTAAGAAAATTCATTTTTTAAAAGTTTATATGTAGTAATCTACAGAGCTATATGTTTACAAAATCATTTTCCACCAAAAAATTGAAAATCAAGTAAGATTCTCTTTCCATATGGAGTTGGCTTGGAAGAAGGTAAAGGACAAGTGATCATATCTCTTTTATATAAGGATAATAGGCTAAGGCTCTATGGACAGGGCCTCAGGGGCTCTGTAAACGCTCCCAAGCAAAACATGAAGGTTTATAGTGTCTCCTAAAAAGATTATTTGACTTTATCTAACTTAAGAACATTTTACCAATTTCTTACTGAGTTTATGCTTAATGTTATCTATCTCTGATATCAAACTTCAGGTATTTGTAGATAAATCCTTACACGACAAAATAACTAAGTTTTTCATCTTAAACAATACATATTCAGGCACAAACAAATATCCTTTTCTGTTCTCTTTCATATATTATCCAGTTTCAGTATTTAGAACATTGTTACTTTTCTCCTCATTGCATATGTGCATTCTTAAAAGCACAGACAAAGAAATTGAAGGAACAGCAGTGCACATCTGGAATCCCACCACTTTAAAGGTAGAGACAGGATGATCAGGAGTTCAAAATCCTCCTGAGCTATACAGTGACTGTGAGGCTAGTGTGGGCTACATGAGATCTTGTTTCTAAATACAAAAAAATAAAAAACAACAATGCCAGCCTGGTCTACAAAGTGAGTTCTGGGACAGCCAGGACTATTACACAGAAAAACCCTGTCTTGAAAAACAAGCAAAGAAACCAAAAATCAAAAACCAATAAAAACAGCTGGGCACAGTGGTGTACACCTGTAATTCTAGCACTTGGAGAGGCAGAGGCAGAGGCAGAGGCAGAGGCAGTGGATCCCTGATTTTGAGGCTAGCCTGGTCTAGGACAGCCAGGACTACACAGAGAAACCCTGTCTCAAAAGACCAAAAACAAACAAACAAAAACCAAAACCAAAAATAAAAGGAGAAGGTAGTAGAATAAAAAGTAAAGTATCACAAAACATTTTGGGCTAAAAAGAAAGCTCTCAGTAAGTGCTGAGGGGACATTAAAAGGACATTACAGTCAATTCAAAGTGACTCCCACTAGCTAAATTTAGAAAAATTGAGACAGGAATCTGCTTATTAAAACAGAAACTCACTACACAGAAGTAACAAAATTAGAAAAAACACTTAACCATTAAAGCAAGTTTCTCAGGCTAGGAAAGGTGATTAAAACTGGTGAGAAAAAGCTTCAAGGGTGACTTTTACCACAGTCTCAAAGATTTCCCTGGAAAGACACTCCTGACATGACTTGACATTGCTTTTGCCATAGTCTTGACAAAAATGAACAATCCAAACTCAATCATAAACATCAGACAAATTAAAATTAACAGATATTCTATAAATACCTAAAATATCAAATTATAAATAGAAAGGCTCAGGGACTATTATTAAGAGGTAAAAGACTAAAACACTGTGACAAATAAATGTGATAATTTTTTAATTTCCTAATTTTAAAAATCTTTTTGTGAGGTGTGTGTGTATGACTCTCTGTGTGTGTATATGTTCATATGTGTGGATACAGGCACACACATCCTACTGGAGGTCAAAGGGCAACTTTGGGTGCCAGTCCTCCCCTTCTATTTTGCTTGAGATAGGACTTCATCTTCTGCTGCATACATCGGGCTTCTGAATACTGGGATTGTAGATGCATGGTATCCTATCTAACTTTCTGTGGGTTCTGAGACTCTAAACTCAGATCCTCATGCTTATACAACAAGTATCCATGAGCCACCATCCCAAGCCTCATTTGATTAGTATATTGTGTACTTGAATTCTTGTTAGGAAATTCAGACTGAAGTTCTCAAGGGTATCTCATACTTACAACTTACTCTGAAAGAGTTCAATAAAAAGTACACAGTAGTGCCAGGCATGGTGGCGCACCTTTGGCCCCAGCGTTTGAGAGTTAGAGGCAGCCTGGTCTACAGTGAGTTCCAAGACCTGCCAGGGCTACACAGAGAAACCCTGGCTCAACAACAACAAATTACACATTCAAATACAAAGACAGGAAGAAAGAGGAGAGGGAGAGAGAGAGAGAACAAAAACAGAAAGTATGGTAAAATGTTATTAATTTGAGAGAAGAGAACTACCTGAGAATTCTTTGCATGGCTACTACAGCTTTTCTCTAGGTTTATGGCCAAATTGTTTTCACTGATCTTGTCTAAGTATCAATGCCTCTTCATGTGGGTCTACTGCTCTACTGATACCTTGTTGTTTATGAAGCCGCTCCAACTCTGTCCTGAGATAAAACATTTTCTTCTGCCGGGCTTCCTGGTCAGTTTTCAGCTTTTCCCTCTCTTCAATAACCTATAGAGTACAAAATGGAGAAAGAATGTGATCTGAAGTTCCAAAAATAGGCTGGAAGGGTAGGGTGAGGGGAAGAAAGAAAAAAGCTACACCCATGTTAAAGATTCTATAAGGTGACATGACTGAACTTCACGATTATGGAGAATTAAAATGTTGAAGACCAGAGATAAACTAATTTGAGCTTCTTTTATTCCCTGTGACAGTTAACTATAGCCCACACCTATGGACTATCCAACCTAACATCCTTATGACTACCAAAATCATACAATGTATTCTTAGCAGATCATAAGTTTTCATCAATTCAAAAGCTAAAAACATCATTGAAGCCAGGCAGTGGTGGCACACACCTTTAATCCCAGCACTCGGGAGCAGAGGCAAACAGATCTCTGCATTGAAGGCTACCCTGGTATACAGAGTGAGTTTCAGAATAACCAGGGCTATATTGAGAAACTTTATCTTGGAAAAACAACAACAAACAAACAAATAAAAGAGAGAGGGAGAGAGAGATGGGCTGGAGAGATGGCTCAGAAGTTAAGAACACTGACTCGTCTACCAAAGGTCCTGAGTTCAATTCCCAGCAACCACATGGTGGCTCACAATCATCTATGAGATCTGGTACCCTCTTCTGCCCTGCAGGCACACATGCAGGAAGAACACTATGTACATAATAAATAAATAAATCTTTAAAAAAGAGAAAGAGAAAGAATGAACATCATTGAACATCAGGAATCTACAACAGAGTTTCCCTCTGCTGTAACATGTCTTACTTGTATCCCCCTACCAATGTATTCTGCATATATTTTTATAACTTACTTTGTTTTGTAACTAATAAAAATGTCACATAACACTGGGTAGTGGTGTACACGCCTTTAATTCCAGGAGGCAGGCATATCTCTGTGAGTATGAGGCCACCCTGGTCTACAAAGCAAGTTCCAGGACAGCCAGGGCTGTTACAAAAGAAAACAAAAAACAGAAACCCAAACCCCAAAAAACACACCTCATATAACTCAGACCTCATACCACATAGTGGAATGTGGTATTTGTGTTCCTGGGCCATAGCCACTCACATTTGGTTACAAAACAGACTGTTCCTTTTGAAAACTGTGTTTTTGTGTTGACAGGAGACCCTCAACTTCCAAAATGCTTTTTCTATTTAGCTCTTATGCTGTTATCTTAAACTTAAAGCCCAGTGTAGTGGCATACACCTCTAAATCCCAGCACTTGGGAGGCTTTTGCAAAAAGACTGCAGTAAGTGCAAAGTCAGCCTGGTCTCCATAGTAAGCCAGGGCCACAGGGCAAGACCTAGTCTCAAAACAAAACACCTTCACCCAAAGTTCAAATGCCTGCACCCAGAATCTTTGTAATCAAAGTGACATTTCATTCAGATACAAGGTCAAGACCAGAATTTTATTCTTTTCTTCGGAGCTATACTACCATGAAAGGTTTCAAGCAGGAAGTACCTAAAGCCACTGACAGCAGCACTGGATAGAACTCAGGTGGGGAAACATGAAGAAAAGAACTAAAATGTAGATCTGAGTGACTAACTGTATTAGCTTATTACATATTTCATGTTATTTGAGCTTCACCATTTTCTCTATTTTACAGTAGGAAAAGTGATTAACTATCTTGGGGCCAGAGATGTTCAGCAGTTAAGAGTATATACCGCTCTTGCAGAGGACCTGAGTTCAGTTCCCAGCATCTGTACCAGGTAGCTCACAACTGCCTGTAGCTCTAGTTCCAGGGTATCCCACCTCCTCTTCTGGACTCGCTGGGTACCTGCACTCACATGTGCACAAGCCCAAATACAAACAGGAACATGTTTACATAATTAAAAATAAATCTTGGGGCTGGAGATGTGGCTTAGTGGTTATTAACATTGACTGTTCTTCTAGAAAACCTGGGTTCTATGTATTCCCAGCACCTACATAGTGGCTCACAACTGCCTGTAACTCTACAGTCTCCTGGGATCTGAAACACCCATCTGATCTCTATAATACCAGGCACGAATATAATATACAGACTTACATACAGACAAAACACTCATACACATAATTAAATTAAAAATAATCTTAAAATTCACCCAAGGTCACACAAGTTGGAGTAAATTTAAAATACAGACACATATTATGTATGGTGGCACAAGCATTTCCCATAACTCAGAAGGCAGAGGCAGATAGATCCTTTGAGTTTGAGGCTAGTCTCATCTACATAATGAATTTTAGGCCAGCCAGGGCTACATAGCAACACCCTGGTCTATGTAACGGATATAGCTGTCTTCAATTTTATGATCTCTTAACCATGTTACTACCAGCTAACAGGAAAAAAAGCAAATATGATTTGTCTTGGTGAATGAGAAAAACCATGTATTATCAGCCCTGACTTAGTGTAAGGCTCTTAAAGGGAAGTACTCACCGTGGAGAGATGCTCAGTGGTTAAGAGCACTGGCTGCTCTTCCAGAGATCCTGAGTTTAATTCCCAGCACCCACATGGTGACTCACAACCATCTATAATGGGATCTGAAGCTCTCTTCTGGCACCTATGCAGGCAGAGTACTCATATATAAAGAAATGAATCCAAAGAAAAAGAATTTAGAGTATTACCCTCACACTGATTTTTCAAACAAACTCGCTAGTGGTAGTGTTTGTCCTTAATCCCGCACTCAAAAGGCAGACGCAAGCAGAGCTCTGTAAATCTGAGGCCAGCTTGTTCTACACAATGAGTTCCAGGACAACCAGGGCTACACAGAGAAACCCTGTCTTGGAAAAAAGAGAAAGAGAAAGTGCTCAGTCTCTAAACACTTTCCTAAAACTTTAAGTTTTGTCTTTATTGAAACTTAAGGCTGAAGTCCAAAGTATCTGAATACCACAGAAAATTAAAATATTTTTATCTTCCAAGGATTAAATTTCTTTAAAATGGAAAAAGATGAGACTATAAGATAGTTCAAGGTTCCCAGATTTTACTGTCAGCATCTTCAGACCATTCATAGACAGAGAAATAACCTTTAAAAGGCTAGCTATTACAGCAGGACCTAATGGTCAGACTTTTTGTTTGCCTATAATGACAAAACATGAGAAGCTCAAAGGGGCTAATACATACATTACTTGAGTAATGACATAAACTTCCAAAAAGAAAAGTACAAAGGCCTTACATCATGTTAAAACAGAAAACTCAGGTATGAAATGTCCAAACCTTATACTCACCTTCTGCTTCTGGGAGGCACGGTTCTTCTCATTAGAGATCTTCTCTGGATTATATCTCACGAGTGATGGAATGGACACCCGAACAGGAACTCGCTTAACAGAAACTGAGCCTAAAACTGATACCCCTTGTTTGGGCTTTGCAGGAGTCACAGTGGGGATCACACGGAGATTTGGACGACTACGAGTAGCTTGTTTGGTTGCTGGTATTAGCCTATGTGGGTCAGACAAAGGGTGGCTTGATGGTTGAGAGGCAGGATACATGGGCCACCTTGATGCTGCATAGGACATGTAGTGCCTATAAGCATCAAAGGAGGCAGAGGGAATGACAGGTCCCTGGTAGTTTGGCGGTATCCGAGCTGTAGCAAACTGAGGGGCCCTTGGTATGTGATACTGAGATAAAGAAGCAGAATGAGGAAGTCTAATTGGGGTAGATGGGGCTGAAGGCAACATGCACCTAACGGCAACTGATGACTGAAACCCACTGCCAACTATCTCTGGTCCTGAAACATAACCCATTGGACGGTCAGACTTTAGGAATGGAGGGCTATTTTTTGTGAGCAGGTAAGGATCCACTGGGGAGGCTGGGTGTGGATGGGATACTTCTGGGGAGTGAGTATTGCTGTGATGTGCCTCCCTACTCTCCAGTCTGTGAGGATCTGATGAGCGCCGATCAGTTGTGAAACTGTGGTCAATTGAGGAACAGCGGTCATCTGAAAAGCGTCGGTCAGCAGATGAGTGTCGGTCAGCGGATGAACATCGATCAGCAGATGAATGTCTGTCAGCAGATGAATGTCGGTCAGCTAAGGAGCGTGAAGATGGCTTCTTGCCATGAAGTCTTTCTTGGGTGCGTGCAGCCAATTTACTAATTTCTGCTACTCCAATATCCAGTCCTATGGTCTTAAGCAAGTCATGAATCTTGGCATATTCTGGATTGTTCTCTTCTAGTGATTCTAGCTTGATGGCTGGAGTTGAAGGCAGAGAGCTTGCCTTCTGTCTCGCAACTTTACTCTCAGGAGCCCCCAGAGACTTAGGTGGGGATTCTGATTTTATATCCTCCTCTTCATCCCCATAGAGAAATTTCTCCTCATCCTCAATATCAGGGAAGCTACGTCTTCTTTTTTCCTGTGTATTGATAGGATCTGCCAACATGCTCAGAATTCGAGAAAAGCCACTGCCGTCCTGGCTAGCTCTCTCATGGGGCAGTAAAAAGTCCGTATGTCGTTCAAGTCCCTCAGCCTTCAAATCCAATTTTTCTTTATAGCACAAAAAACTGTCGACTTTTTCACTGTTGTCTTTAGGTATCTCACAGAAGGGACCCCACTGGTACAGGTTACCCTGAGGTTCTTTCAGGTCGGCCTCCACTGCAGTTCCTTTGTTTTCAATCTCCGAAGCAAAAGCAGCAATAGCACCACTTAGTGGAAGAGGTGGATGCTCAGAATAGAGGGGGCAATCCTGGCTGGAGCTGGTACTGCTGGAAAAGCTCTCACGCTGCAAACACAAACATACTTGATTTAGCACCCAAGAGGGAATCACAGAGCACTAGCAATTGAGAGAAAGGTTTCCTGAATAGGGGAGATATATACAGATAAAAAGAAAAGTGGTCTTGCCTAAGCCCAAGAAACAAGTCCCCTCTCCAGTGGTCTCTGCCAGGGCAAGGAGAAAGAGGGGCTGAGTAAACCGAGTGCTCTGAACCTTTACCCTGTGCTTCATTCTTTATCAAAGCATATGAATTCAGAAGATTGCAGATATCTTCCTTAGCCTGTTTTCCTTTTATATTTTGTTTTCTCTTAAGAACTGTATTTATTATTGCTGTTGTTGAGGTGAGAGGTATGTGACTATATGGGTACACATAAACACAGTTTATGTTTGGGAGATACGTAACTATATGGGCACACATGAGCTTTGAACGTGTTGGGGGAGAGGGTAGGTGTGTGAATACATGGGCACACACAAGCACAGTATATGTGTGAATTTTCAGGAATTAGGTTCTGGAAATCAAACTCAGGTCATCAGGCTTGACGTTAACTTTCAGTGTGCTCTAACAGGCCTTGAACTTGGAATCCTCAAGCAATAGCCTCTCAGCTGCTAGGATTATAGGTGTGTACCATCCCACCCAACTTGTTTTCATTTCTATTGATAACCAAAAGAAAAAGCACATAAGTAGGACTACTCTGGAGACAGGAAATTCTAAAACTCTAACTAATCAGCCTTCCCTTGTTTCTCTAAGTACCTCAGTACTTGCTCAGAAGTCTTTAGTCAAACTATAGTCTTGCCTGACCATCTTTTCATAGTAAGAAGAAACAGTGTCAAGGCCAGAAATGCTGTGACTTGTCTGAAATTTACACAGGAAGTTGATGCTTCCAAAATCAGAATCACGTCATTTCTAGTCTAATGTTCTACAATTCATATGCTTCTTTCTTCTAAAGAGATGAAGAACTCAGAATTATCTTCTCCTTTTGCCTTTCATTTCCAAAAAACTCACATTCAAAGATTCCCTATAGAGCTATTCAATTTAAGGGGGAAAAGTCAAGGCAGATACTTTCCAAAATGTTTTTAGAAAGTAATATAGCAATAGAAGGCCTTGTTGATGCACTATGAGTCTTCAGTTTACTCTGGGAATCCCAGGAGTGGTTGTTCATGGTTAGGCATAATAACATTGTTAGTACAGAAATGCTACACAGACACTAATAAGGAGCACAGTCCCAGGAAAGTATCAGGACTTAGGATATTAGAGGGACTACCAAGAGAAATGCAACAAAGACCTGCAAGGAAGGCTTCGTGTCCACTTGAATTCGTTTCTTCAGAATGGACTTCTTAGGCATCACAGGTACTTCCTCAGGCCGATGCAAAGAATATCCTGGCTCCTCTGTTGTTAGGACACCTGACAACCCAGGGATGGAACATCCAGTCCTAGCATCAACGCTCACCAGCTCCTGATTCAAGCTCCTACTTTGTTCCTCCTCTTCCTCTCGCTTTCTCCTGGCAAGGTCCAGTTCTCGAAACTCAGGGTCAAGAAAGCTAGGGCTTGGGCTGCTTCTTCGCTGTCGATAGTTGCGAGTCCCAGATGTAAAACTTGAGTGATCTCCTCCCATGCCGTGTATCTTCTCTGTGTCATCATAACGGGGCCTTTTGGCCTCCCGGCTTCTTTCCTCAGATCCTATGGAATAGGAGGAGCTTTTGAGTTTGTCTCTATCCCGTTCTGTTCCCCTCAATAGTTCATCATGACAACTGATATGGGGACTATACTCAGATCGATGCACAAAAGTTTCTCTCGTCCGGTAGTCCTCATCAAGTTGTCCCAAGAAGGGACTAAGTGGCCCCTCCTCCCGAGAAATATATCGTTCAAGGCCTCGAGAGCACTGGGAGCTTCGAGTGAAGACAGAATTATCAGTCAGGTTATCCCTGAGGAAAGAGACAAGGATCACTGAATATAGTGACTTGAAGAAAGAAAGGCCAGACAATGCTAAGATACTATTATTTAGGAGGGGAACAATAGAATGCTTAAAGCAAAAGTAAATAATCATGAAATCCAAAGACAGATTAGACATGGAACATTTCCTCTTCCTTTCCCAGGGTCACCAACAGCTTTAGACTCTAATCAAGAGACTAATACACTAACAGAACTTTTAGGCTAATTATTTTTTTTAATTAGTCTGAGGATACTGAGTATCACACTAGAGCTCAGGAGATACAAAACCATAACAAAGAGGCTAGAGAAATGATTCAACAATTAAGAGTGCATACTATCTTCTAGAGGACCCAAGTGTAGTTCCCAGTACCCATGTTCAATGGCTTACTCCAATTACATTTCCCCTTCTTGATTAGAGCACACATGCATTCTCATTTGCATACAGAAGCACACATACACACATAACTGAAAAATAAAAATAAATCTTAAAAAAATCACAGAGTCCTAATTGATACAATTTGACTAGCTAGACTAGGTATAGTGGCCTACACCTTTAATCCCAGCACCAGGGAAGCAGGTGGACAGCTCTGAGTTCCAGGACTACATCCTGATACACTATGTTGGAAAAACAAAGAACAAAATAGGGGCTGGAGAGGGGACTCACTGGTTTAAAGCACTGAATGCTCTCTTAGAGGACTTGGGTTTGACTCCCAGAACCCACATGGTGGCTCACAACCATTTATCTCTAACTTGGAGATCCAATGCCCTCTTCAGGCTTCTTCCTAAGGCACCATGCAAGCACATAGCACACAGACATACATGCAGGAAAGACACCCATACACATAAATACAAAATTTAAAAACAAAACAATAACAAAAACTTGACCAGCTAAATTAAAGCTCTTTGTCAGAACCAACAGCCCTAACATTACCTGAGAATTTATTAAAAAGTAATGATTCTAGGACTGGAGAGATGGCTCAGTAGTTAAAGCACTGGCAGCTCTTCCAGGACCTGAGTTCAATTTCCAGCACCCACATGGCAGCTCACAACTATCTGTGACTACAGTTCCAGGGGATCTGACTACCTCACACAGACATACATGTGGGTAAGACACCAACACATATAAAATAAAAATAAATTAAAATACACATAAAATACACATTGTATGATTTTTTTTTTTTAAAGTAATGATTCTAACCAGAGAACATGATAACAGTAAGAGTTCAGAGCCAATCTGGGCCCTAGCAACCCATCTCAAAAACAAAACAAAAATAAAACAAACAAAAAGGAAATACAGATTGTTGGGCTCTACCCCAGGCCTAATGGACTAGAGTTTTAATTTTAACGAGATTTCAAGGTGGTTTGTATGTGCTTTAAGGTTCGAGAAACAACATTCAAGAACAATGGCTTTGGAGCTTTGTCTCATGGTTTGGAGTCATTTCTCAACCTGGCTCTCCTTCGCTGTGCAGGGGACTGAACCTGAGCCTCTGCATCCAACAGGAGTGTGCCCATCACTGAGCACATGCATCGCCAGCCCACAAATTTTCTACAAAGCACTTAGGAGCTGCCTAAAGGAAATATGCTGGGAAAGCGGTGAGGGAGGTCCTGGACTTCCCATCTCATTTAAGTTGTATCAGTCCCAACTTCAGTCTACATACTCAAACCTGATATATTTCTACTGGGGGAAAAGTTTCATTATAAGGATAACTAAAACCCTAAAACTGTTTGGTCATGTTCTTTCCTGCCTTGCCTGGATATCCACAAGCAGTCTCCTACTGTAGGACCCAGAAATAAGTGATGTTTTGGCTCACTGTGTACTTTTTTTCAGAAATACAAGTCTCAGACCTTTGTGGCATAAAGGTCAAAATTCAGGATGAGATAGTTTTCCTTCTAGCTCAGAGGCAAATAATAAACTTAGCTATTTGGGGGCACTATGGCCATAGAGCTTCTATGACCCAAAAAACAAGGATTCTGACTTAAATTGTAGATTGAAAGAAAGATCTCTAGGATTTTTGGTTTTTCAAGACAGGGTTTCTTTGTGTAGCTCTGGATGCCCTGAAACTAGCTTTGTAGAGTAGGCTGGCTTCAAACTTGCCTCCTCTACCTCACGAGTGCTGGGACTAAGCCACCACTGCTCAGCTCCTCTCCAATTTTTTAAGATTGCATTTTAAAATAGTTTTGTGTATGTATATGTCTGTATGTTTCTGGGCACATGTGGTCAGTGGCACATGTATACAGGTCAGAGGACAATTTGTGGGAGTTGGTTCTCTCCTATTGTATGTGTCCAAGGTATTAAACTTAGGACTTCAGGCTTAGTGGCAAGTGCTTTTATCTGCTGAGCCATCTCACTCACCCAGACATCCTGTATACCAAGATAGCCTCTAGAATTTTAGAAATCTAATTTCATCTAAATTTAAAAAAATAAAAAGAAAACGAATAATCTCAGGATTTAGGAGACTGAGGCAGGATTATCACCTTGAGTTTGAGACCAGACTGAATAGAATGAGTTCCAGGCCAGTGTGAGTTTTAAGGTAGAACCCAGCCTCAAACAAAACAAAAAGAAGAAAAAAATATGGCACTGGAGAGATAGCTCAGCTGTTAAAGAGCACTGGCCAGGTACAATGGGGCATTCCTGTAATCCCAGCACTCAGGCAGGCAGATCTCTGTGAGTTTGAGGCCAGCCTGGTTTACAAAGTGAGTCCAGGATAGCCAAGGTTACAACAGGGAAGCTCCTCAAAGTCTCAAAATGAAAAAGAAACTGTTTATTAAAAAAAATCCAGGGCTGGAGAGATGGCTCAGAGGCCAAGAGCACTGGCTGTTCTTCCAAAGGTCCTGAGTTCAATTCCCAGCAATCACATGGTGGCTCACAACCATCTGTAAAGAGATCTGGAGCGCTCTTCTGGTATGTAGGCCTACATGCAGGAAGAGTACTGTATAAATAATAAAAAAGTAAATCTTTAAAAAAAAAAAAAAAACAGAATGAATTACCATCCAGAGAAATTAATATGTTCCCTTTTTAAATTTTAAAAAGATTTATTTTAAATTTTTATTTAGGTGGGTTCATGTATTCGATCACCTCCAGGAGCCCAGAAGTGTTTTAGATCCTTTGGAGCTGTAGTCATAGACAATTGGGAGCTAGAAACCAAACGTAGGTCTTCTAAAAGATAGTGTACATTCATTTTTTTTGATAGTGTACATTCTTAACCATTGTTATCTCTTCAGCTGTCCTATGTTGTTTCTAATAATGTGTTTCTAAAAATGACCTTTTAAAAATATTTAAAAATTTTATGCATATAAGTGTTTTGTCTTCATGTATGTCTATACACCAAATATATGCATAGAGGCCAGAAGAGGGTTATCAGATCCCTGGAACTGGAGTTACAGGTGGTTATGAGCTGCCATATAGGTGCTGGAAATCAAACCAGGGTCCTCTAGAAGAAGAGCCAGCACTGTTAACCAACGACCCATCCTTACAGACCCATAGAAATGACCTTAAAAAATATCTGGATAATTTTGAGGTCTTAATGCATTATGAAACAGGACTGGAATAAACTAAGAATGGCCTCTGAAATTAAAAAAACAAAAAACAAAAAACAAAAAAACACTCAAATAAAATTTTTACTCTTATCAATTATAAAGACATTTCTAAGGAAAATGTTCATGAGTTGACTCACTTCACCAAATCACCCAGCAACAGGCTTCGTAATAGTGTAGGAGAAAACCCCATAAACTATATGTATAGTAGCAGGGTCACCTATGTTCCACAACTCACTAAAACCAGGACATGTCACCACCAAATAAAACATTAACCCAAGATCTAATATGACACTAAGTTATCAAGAAGCTACAAATACAATAATCCTCATAAAGCCTTAGTGTGACTTGGAATTGCCAACAAAAGTAGGGATACAATGGAAGGCATCACAAGAACAGTTAGAAAAACAAAACAAAACCAGAAGCTGTCATGTAAACATAGTCCAGAGTCAGGTTGCACATTAGAAATTCAACCCTCTTTTTTCTGGACTCCCACCAGTTAGGAGAGAACTGACTCAGAAAAAGAGCATTAGCTATTTTTCCAGAGGATCTGAGTTTAGTCCCCAGCACCTATACAGCAGCTCACAACCATCTGAAACTCCAGTTCTAGGGCATCCAAAATGGGTACTAGGCATGCAAGTGGTACATATGTAAATACACACAGCAGACACTTAAGACACACAAACTTTTAAATTAAAAAAGTGTGATTATTTTTAAGATTAATCACAATTGTCAGACAGTGGTCAGACACATCTTTAATCCCAGCACTCAGGAGGCAGAGGCAGGCAGGTCTCTGTGAGTTTGAGGCCAGCCTGGTCTACAGAGCTAGTTCCAGGACAGCCAAGGCTACACAGAAAAACCCTGTCTCAAAAACTAAAACAAAAAGAATCACAGCTGCTTGTAGCCCAAAACAGTCCAGTGACAGACACTCTAAAAGCTTTGGCTAAACTGGAGATGGTGGAGCATGCCTTAACCTAGCACTTGGGAAGCAGAGGTAGGAAAGATCTCTGTTGAGTTCTAGGCCAGCCTGGACTACATACTGAGTTCCAGGACAGCCAGGACTACACAGAGAGACCCTCTTTCAAAACAGCAACAACAATCTTGGCTAAGATCAATTAGTTTTAGTTTGGTTTAAGTTTGGTTTTTCTTCTTTCTTTTTCTTTTCTTTTTCTTTTTTTTTTTTTTTCCATATGTAGCCTTAGGTGTCCTAGACTCAAACTAGACCAGGCTGGCCTCAAACTCACAGAGATCCACCTGCCTCTGCCTCCCTGAGTGCTGGAATTACAGGCTTGCACCATCACACCCAGCTTGGTTTAGGTTTTTAAGACAGGGTTTCTTTATGTAGACCTGGCTGGCCTTGAACTCAGAGGTCCTACGAGCTATCACTACCCAGCTGACTCTTACATGTACATTTAAAATCATTCAGGAGTGCCATCTGATAGAACTTTATGTAAAGACAAGGAAGCACTTTTTGCCAGTTGGTGGTGGTGCACTCCTTTAGTCCCAGCACTCGGGAGGCAGAACAGGAAGATCTCTGTAAGTTGAGGCCAGCCTGGAGGTCTACAGATAAGAGTTCGAGGACAGCCAAGGCTACACAGAGAAATCCTGTCTCGAAAAACAAAAACAAAGAGTTAGATGTGGATAATAGGAACATGAGTGTTCACTGTACTTTATTCTGTTTTTTTTTAATTTTTATTATCATATATTAGTAGTACAAAATAGCATAACATTTTCCTATATGCAAAATATACTTTGATTATATCTCCCCCATTGCCCCTTTCAATCCCTTTCATTCTTCCTACTGATCCTTTTCTAGTACCAAATAGTATCCCTTCTTTTTTGTTTGTTTACAAATTTCCATTAAACAACTTTAAAATGTAAGGCTAGAGGTATAGCTCAATGACAGAACGTTTGTCTAGCAGTGGTTCTCAACCTATGGTCACGACCCCTTTAGGGGTCAAATGACCTTTTCACAGGGGTCAAATATTAGACAGCCTGCATATCAGGTATTTACATGATGATTCATAACAGTAGCAATTACAGTTATGAAGCAGCAGTGAAAGTAATTCTATGGTTAGGGAGTCACTACAACATGAGGACTATTAATGGGTCACAGTACTAGGAAGGTCGAGAACCACTGGTCTATAGGTATGTAAGTCTACAAAGAAGTTTTCACAACAACATTCTTAGTAGAATTCTTTATAACAGCTAAAAGAAAAGACAACCCAATGATATTCAACAATTTACTAATAATGAATAAACAGAACTTGTTATATATACATTATGAAATATTATTGGCAATAGAAACACCATAAACATGATGAACCTTAAAACATGTGAAAGCTAGTCACAAAGAATCATACATTATATAAATAGGAAGCTCATTAAAGTAAAAAATAAAGATTGCTTAGAACTGAGGCTAAGGGTGTTAGGATTTCTCCAGACATAATAAAAATGTTCTAAAATGTATTGCTATTATGGATACACAACTCTGAATATGTGTCTCAGTATCCAAGTGTCTTAAAAGTTTTCACTCAACTTGTTCACACTCCCTTTTTAGAGTAAGTTATAGTCCATTAGAGAGCTGCTAAGGCAAGACCACAATCTTGATGGTCTGGAGTGCTGGCTAGTTTTATGTTTTATGACCCAAGCTGGAGTCACCTGAGAGGAGTGAACCTCAATTGAGAAAATGCCTCCTACTATGGAGAGATGGCTCAGAGGTTACGAGCACTGGCTGCATTTCCAAAGGTCCTGAGTTCAATTTCCAGCAACCGCATGGTAGCTCACAACCATCTATAATGAGATCTGGTGCCCTCTTCTGGTGTGCAAGCATACATGCAGGCAGAATACTGTATAAATAATAATAAATAAATAAATAAATCGAAAGGAAGGAAGGAAGGAAGGAAGGAGGGAGGGAGGGAGGGAGGAAGGGAGGGAGGGAGGGAGGGAGGGAGGGAGGGAGGGAGGAAGGAAGGAAGGAAGGAAGGAAGAAAGGAAGGAAGGAAGGAAGGAAAGAAAGAAAATGCTCCATGAGACTGGGGACTGGGGTGTGAGTATGGAGCATCTTCTTAATTAGACTGATGGGGAAGGCCCCAGCTCATTGTAATGTTGCCATCCCTGGGCTGGTGGTTCTGGTTTTTATAAGAAAGCAGGCTGAGCAAGCCATAAGGAGCAAGTCACTAAGCAGTGCCCCTCCACGGCCTCTGCATCAGTTCCTGCCTCCAGGTTCCTGCTGTGTCTGAGTTCCCGTCTTGACTCCTTTCAGTGATGAACTACAAAGTGAAAGTGTAAGCCAAATAAATCCTTTCCTCCCCAACTTATTTTCAGTCATGGTGGTTCATCATAACAATTGTAACCCTAACTAAGACATTTGGCTTTTACTCAAAAACCTAATAACAAGATATGACAAATTCAAAAAAAGAGAAAAAGTATTGGAGGGGGGGTCTCAAGAAAAAAATTAACATGGCCTATTAGAAATGGCCTAAAGATCCTATTTTTAAAAGAATGTGTGTGTTGTGTGTGTGTGCACACACACATGCATTTCTTTCTCTGTGTAGTTATGGGCACCTGAGTACAGATGCCCATGAATGCCAGAAGTGGACACTGGATCCCTTGGAACTGTAGTTACAGGTTTATAGTTGGTTTGAGTCATTGAACATGAGTTCTAGAAACTCCTCTGCATGAGCAACCAAGTGTTCTTAACAACTGAGCCATCTCTCTAGCCCTGGAAATGGCTGGTTCAATTAGCTGAAGACTAGACCCACCATCAGGAAACATATGAATATGCTAATGGATCTACAACCTGATTTTACTGAATAGTAATTATCCATACAAAAAGAAACCATAACAAGGAGAGCAACAGAACCAGAAAATTTGAACTCAGGGGTCTTCCCCGAGACTGATACTCCAACCAAGTACCAGGCATGGAGATAACCTAGAACCCCTGCATGGATGTAGCCCATAGCAGTTTAGTGTCCAAGTGGGTTACATAGTAATGGGAAGAGGGACTGCCTCTGACCTAATCTGATTGGCCTGCTCTTTGATCACCTCCCCCTGAGGGGGGAGCAGCCTTACCAGGCCACAGAAGATGATGATGCAGCCACTCCTGATGTGATCTGATAGACTAAGATCAGAAGGAAGGAGAGGAGGACCTCCCCTATCAGTGGACCTGGGGAGGGGCATGCATGAAGGAGGAGGAGGTGGGGAGGGAGGGTGGGAACGAGAGGGGAGGAGGGAGGGGCTTATGGGGGGATACAAAGTGAATAAAGTGTAATAAAGAAAAGAAAAGAAAAGAAACCATAGCTGGGTGGTGGTAGCACATGCCTTTAGTCCTACCACTCAGAAGGCAGAAGCAGGAGGATCTCTTGAGTTCGAGGGCAGCCTGGTTCAGGACAGCCAGGACTACACACAAATGTGCAAGTGGTAAAAATATAAAAAGTAGACCCACAGCTCCCATTTAGAGCCTCTCTCGCTGTCTCTAAAGCAGATCTCTTTAAGTCACATGATTCTAGAAATACTACAGTTCTAAACACTTTCTGAGGAAAATTAACTTTTCATAATTTGAAAAGATAGATGGTTCTCAGAAGCATATATGCATAACAAAAGGAAATGCCAGACTAAGCCCCACAAAAGGAAATGTTGAAGTTACTTAACCCAGCAAGGAAGGAAGAGAATCACACCCTGTACCACCACCCTAGTCCACCTACTCAATCACCTCCCAAAATAGAAGCAGACTGAAGGGCAAGAGCTGTTGACTCAATTAGTGATCCAGTCACACACCTTGAAGGCCTACCTTCAGAAGCCTCAGTTAAGACTGTCCTTGCTTCACTGCATCCATAGCCACTGGAGCTTTGAAGTAAATTATCACCAGTAATACCGCTGTCCTGACTTCCTGCCCAGCTGTCCCCATCTGCCTGCCTATACTCTATACAATACTTAACATTACCTGTAATAAACAATATTTCCTTGATTAATTCTCATATTTATGAAAACCCCACTGTGCTAGACAGAGACTATAACAAATATGCTCTAAGATGAAGAAAATGCTGTCCTGTACTCCCATGCTTACCTTTTTACTTTTCTTATGTAATAAAACTATTTAATCTCCATATATAACTTTTAGTAATTAAGGTCTATATTCAACACTGTTTAGTTTATTTGTAAGCAGTAATCACACTTACATATTTTTAAAGATCTCTAACTTTCTATTACTGCTCCATAAATTTAATATACATACTTTATTATTTAAATGCTTTCAGTATCCATATTTTGGCCCAAGCAAGCTAAAAATGAATCACTGAAAAATAATTTTCTAGCAAGCTGTTGGGCTCATGCTTCTCAGCACTCAGGAAGCAGAGGCAGAAAGATTTCTGCAAGTTTCAGGTCAGCCAGAACTACATAGACTGCCTCCTGCCCCCCTACCCCCCCCCAAAAAAAAAGCCAAGTACATTACCACAAGCCTTTAATTCCAGTGTTAGGAAGCTGAAGCATGCCTATCTCTGTGAGTTCAAAGCCATAGTGAGACTCTAGCTACATACTGAGACTCTATTTCAAATAAATAAACCCTTTATCAATAAAAATATAAACAAACATATGTGGTGACCCACCTTTAATCCTAACACTCAGGAAGCAGAGGCAAGAGAATCTCTGAGTTCAAGGCCAGTCTGGTCTACAAAGTGAGTACCAAGACAGAAGCCCTGTTTCGAAAAAACAAACAAAAACAGACTTTCCATTTTTCTCCAAAACCTTTATTGTATAAGGCTCTTCTTAGATTTTAATCCAATATTTGATATATGTCCCCTTCTCTTTCTACGTGTACCACGATGATTTTGTTTTTGTTTTCTCTGGCACACTTTTCTTTCAGCAACAGAATCTTTTATCAACATACTCATCCCACTCAGAAAGCCTTTTCCAGTGTGATATCTTCTACTGGACACAGCACAGGGGATGATTTCAGTGCTAGCACCATACATTCAAGCACATCACTCAGAAAACAGCAGTATTTCTACCTACCAAAATTAGTCTGGTACACCTGTCATAGCTGAAGCCTACCTGCCCACGTCCTCCAGACCATCCACTGGAGACCCCAGCCGGTCACTGAGCCGACGCCGCTCTGGCGTGCTAGGACAGAAGTGGTCATTGCCAACCGTGATCCTTAAACTCTGCTCCAAAGAAGAATCAGAGCACAGACCTGGAGAATGTCTCTACAAAAGTTAAAAAATAAATAAACAAACATATAGTAGTCAACATGAATGAATGCATTCTATGCCCCAAAATGTTCCCCCTACTCATAAAATTGTTGTCTATCAAGGTAAGGAACTATTCAAAAACAGAAATTTCTTTAGACTTTTTTTTTTCAAGACAAGGTTTCTTTGTGCAGCCCTGGCTGTCCTGGAACTCTCTCTGTAGGCCAGGCTAGCCTCAAGCTCAGAGATCTGCCTGCCTCTGTCTTCTGAGTACTGGGAATAAAGGTGTGCACCACCACCACCCAGAGAGATAAAAGTTTATAATCCCCACTCCTCCTAAAAGATGGTCTCTTATTCAGGGGCTACACAGAGAGACCATATCTTGAAAAACTAAGACCTCTTTTTCTTATGGGACATAGGAATAGCCAAGTAAATAAAATCCCTGCTCGAAGGACCTATACATGTTTAGCTAAAGGAGGAGAGCCAAAACCAATTATGTTCTAAGTATTGCAGAAGGTAGCAACAAGTGGCACAGACACTAAAAAAAAAAAAAAAAAAAAAAAGAACTGTAAAAGACTAAGGAAAAGGAGGAATCACTTAGATACGGCGGTAAAATTAGCATTTCTGAGATGCTGCCACTTGAGAAGGAGGCAACATCTCAGGATGTACTAGCATGCTCTGGGTAACAGAAAACAGGCCAGTACAGTGATGTGACAGAGAGGAGACACAACTAATCAGGAAATTTGGTTGATCTTGGTGTGATAGGAGCCATAGGAGGGCTTTAAGCACTCAAGTCATGAGACCCAACCAGAACTTTCCTCCTGGCGCTTGTACGACTTGATCTCTCAGTCTCTTAAGGTCTTAATTCAAAACTCACTTCTTAGGAGGCTTGTTCCCTTGAAATCCTATCAAAAATCATAAACTACTGCTTAAGTTTGTTTTTAGCCCTTAATCACATTTAACACACCACAGAATTTCTAACTTCATCTATTTATCATAACTGTCTAATTCATGACAGATGACCAGTATAGACCCACTAAAAGTATAAAGTGAAGGCTTAAAATCAGTTTGGGGTTCCAGTTAAGAATGAGCACTGTTTTTGCAAAGGGCAACACCTTGGTTCACAGCTAACAACTACTTCCAAGGGATCCAAAGTCTGCACCAACCATCTGCACTCCCATGTATATACATACACACACAGGAAACATGAATACACACAACAAAAAAGTTTTTAAAAATCTATTTGATTGCTGAACACAGAAAGATACACTTATTTATACAGCAAGGCTAGATTATAAAGAGAGCAAATGTAACCTTCCAAGGAACCGGTAACAGGGCCATCAGTGCTGGGAGGTGATAGAAGGATAGCGTGGGGTTTCCCTTGAAGGTACACCTAACAGGTTAAATGAGGTCAATGTTCAGATCAGATGGAAAAAGAGAGAACAATTTCCTACGGGACAGAAAACTGGAGCAAATTCAGTGCCCCGAAGAAGAGGGAGGCTGTAATATTCTAGTCTTCATTCCTCTGTAGTGAGGGACTTTGAAAAGTTTTAACAATGTGACAAATCAGCTGATCTATGATGAGAGCCCTAGGCTACATGTTACATACAGTGCTATTCCAGAGAAACTCTTCACTAACAAAGATAGACGCTCTAAAAACAAACAAAAAATTCCAAAACACCAGCCGGAGACTCTACTAGAACTGTTGTTACCTGACATGTCAACATCACATCAATACTTAAAAAAAGAGGATGCTAGGGATCCAAGTCGCATTTCACACCTTTGCAAGCCCTCCACTACCTCCGCTCCGCCCACCACCACTATAAATCAACCTCTCACTCTGTTCTTCTAACAGCACACTCTGACATTTAAAATCGCGGGCTTTGGGACTCAAACATGTACTAAGCCACAGCCCCACCACTTGCGGCTGTGTCACCTTGATCAAGTTACTGAAACCTTTCTGAGCTGTTTCCTCAGCTGTGCGATAAGGAGTAACACTCGTCGCTGTACCTCAAGGGGACTGTGAGCGCTTTCAGACTGCGGGTAGCTGCTGCCACACCGCTAGCTGGTGGCAGCAATCACAATAATTGATTGTGCACACCTTCTTCAGAGCCACAGCTCCAACTGAGACTCCGTGACAGCTAAAACATCCAGACTGCTTTGGTTCAAGCTCTCCTACCTCGCCACCAGGCATTCCGGACGCTTTTCTAAACTCGGGCCTTAAGAGAATGAAACTCATCAAACCCAACGGGGGGGGGGGGGGGGGGGGGAGGAACCACCCAAGGCGCCACAAAGTGTGGATGAATTCCCCTCGCCTTGGTCAACTTCTCCACACAGCAAGAGCGAAAGCCTCTTCCCAAGAAACCGGACTTTCTGTTCCAACCCAGTGACCGAGCGGGTTCCGAGTCCGTTATTGTGGAAAGGAGGCGCCCAGGGCTGTCAGGGAGCGGGGGGGTACGCTTGGCCATTTGGACGGTGGCGTGAAGGCCCGGGGGCTGGGGACCGAGGGGCGACCCGGGCGAAGGGTGGGATTACCCGACTGCCGCCGTCGCCTGGATGGTCTCCGCGGCCGTCCCGGGCGAAGTCGGCGCAGGACTCGCCTCGAATGCTGCCTCGGAAGCCAGCCAGGCCCGGCGGGTAGAGTCGCCGGCTCCGCGGCGGCGACGGGGAGCCGCGACGGGCGCGCGGCGGGGACGGGGAGCCGCGACGACCCCGCTGAGGGGACGGCGAGGCCCGCCGGCCGCGAGGAGGAGACGGCGAGGCCCGGTGGCCGCGGGGCGGGGAGCGGGAGCCGCGACGGCCCCGAGGCAGGGACGGCGAGGCCCGCCGGCTGCGGTGGCCGGAGGGCGAGCGGTGGCGGCGGGAGGGGAGCCGCAGCGACGAGCAAGAGGGCGGCGGCGGCGGCGGCGGCGGCGGCGAGGGGCGGCGCGCCGGGCCTGAGGAGGAGCCGGCGGAACGGCCGGAGCGCGAACCGCTCCCGCCGCCGTCTTTCGGCCGGTGCGAAGAGACGGAGGAGCGGGAGCCGCTGCGGTACATGGCTGCCGGGAGCGCGCCGCCGAGGCTGCAGCCGCCGCCGCCGACCCCGCAGCGCGCCGCCCTCGCGGACGGAGCGGCCCCCTCCCCGCCGGCCGCCCCGCCCCCAAGGCCTGGCCGAGGGCGCCCCGGGCGGCAAGCGGTTGGAGGGCGCGGGAACGCGCCGACACACCCCCCGCCGCCCCCGCCCGCCCGGGCGCCCAGCGGCCGGACGCCGAGAGCGGCCGCGCGAGCCGGGGAGATTGGGGAGGAGCGCGGGAGCCCCGGGACGACCGGGGACGCGCGCCTTGAGGCGCACAGGCCCCGCCTCTCGGCCAGCAAGATGGCGGCCGGCGAGCCCCCCCCCCCCCCCCCCCCCCCGCCCGCCCGGTAACCACGTGACGCGGAGAGGCCTGGCGCGGTGGGCGGGGCCGAAGAACAGGATGAGTGGGAGGGTCAGTGTGTGTGGCCCAGGTCTCTCTCTCTAGGTTGGTTCCCGGGCTGCTGGAGCGCGTCTGTGGTTTTCCTGCCCGCTTCTTCTTCTCACCTAATTTATCATACATGATTATGGTGGGAATACAAATGACACCCCCCCCTTAAGCCCTGTCAGAGGCTAGGAACCCCAACAAGAGCACCCACTGAAGTCCTTCCCCCGTACTGTCCGATTACTTATATTTATAGAGGTTTAAATTGAGGATGAGAAAGTGCGAGGAGGTCAAAGTGAAACATGAGCAGATGGCAGTCAACCGGGCGTGGCGGCGCATGCATTTAATCCCAGCACTCTGGAGGCAGAGGCAGGAGGATCCCTGTGAGTTCGAGGACAGCCAGCGATGTTACACAGAGTGACCCTATCTGGAAGAAAAACAAACAAACAAACAAACAAAAAGCAAGACATCAGTATAATTTTCACAAGTTTTGACCAAGCACTGCGGTAAAGTTGTGATAAAGACAAAGATGACAAAATAAGGGTCAGCCAAACAGGAAAATAGGGGCTGGATAGATAGTCCAGGAGCTTTTTCACGGCACCTACGTCGGGGCTCACAACCATGTGGGATCCCAGTTCCAGAGGATCCCACCCTTCTCTGGACACTAAGCATCCACAGGGTGCACAGGCATTAATGCAGGCAAAACATCCATACACATAAAAAAATAATAAGTTGACCCAAAACAATAGCTTCACCAGCTAAACACAAATCTGAAATTTGTATAAAAATCAGATTTCTGAGCTGGGCGGTGGTGGCACCTGTCTTTTAATCCTAATATTCAGGGGCAGAAGCAAGCAAATCTCTGAGATCAAGGCCAGCCTAGTCTGTAGAGTTCCAAGACAGCCAGGACTACACAGAGAAACCCTGACTCAAAAACAAACAAACAAACCAAAACCAAAAATCAGATTTCTGATTTCAAAACAAAGGCAAAACAAAGAACTTAAATTGTAAAATATTACTATTTGCTAATTTGTTTTAAAATTACTTTTAAAATATAACCAATTTACATTTATAAATGCCATATGCTTCATATTTCACAACAAAATTTTGCTTCTTTATTTTTCAATTTTCTTTTTTTGAGACAGGGTCTCACTAGCAGCCTTAGCTGGTCTGGAATTTCCTATGTAGATAAAGCTGGCCTTGAACTTACAGAGATCTGCCTGCCTCTGCCTCCCACCTGGCCTCAGTATAAAAAGCTTACCAGCGGGATTCCCATTTATTTTATCTCATAAAATTGATATATTTTTAAATACACAAGTTATTTTAATGAAAAAGTCAGCCTAACAGAGGTATGTACCCTGTCTTTATCACACTGCTCATGTATTTAGTTATTTACAAGCCCATGGAATTTAAGTAAAGGTGAGAAAATGGAAATCGCTATGACTAGTTAGTTACTTGAAGTCAATGCTTTTTGTGTGTATTAGGGCCTCAGGTAACAGGCCTGTCTCAAACTTGGTATATCAGAGGATGACCTTGAACTCGATTCTCCTGCTTCTATGTCATAGATGCTGGGAACACAGATACGGAATACAGTTTTTAAAATCAGAATGAACACTTTTTTGTCTTTGGGGTTTATTTTGTTTTGTTTTTATTTTTTGAGACAGGGTTTTTCTGTATAGCCTTGGCTATCCTGGAACTCACTCTGTAGACTAGGCTGACCTTGAACTCAGAGAGCCACCTGCCTCTGCCTTCCGAGTGCTGGGATTAAAGGCATGTGCCACCACTGCCTAGCCAGAATCGGTACATTTTAAATCAGGGTTTGCTCTTCTAGTATTAACATTGCCTCCTCTGTCTTTTTAAAGTATTTTATAATCAAAGGGGCAAGTCTCTATAGTATATAGTCAGAAAATCTCTCCTCCTTGCCCTTCATGCCTGTCCTGTGCAGAACTGTTTCTGCGTCTTGAATGAAAGTCTTTGCAGAGCCGTTCACTTTCATTTTTCAGCATCTCGAGTAGTGTCATTACAATAGTGCGAATGCCCAGCCCAGGGTCACAAAGCCTCCACCAGGCAGGAGGCACCCTCCTGGGAGAGCAGGCTTTGTAATGACATCCTCATAGTCTTCCAGAGTCTCAGTCTCAAAACCAAACAAATCTTTAAACTTCGTTTTGGATAACAGCTCCAGCCTTGACACCTGGTAAAATTAGGGAGTGGGCTAGACTTTGTCAATGTGGACACTTCTCTTAGTGGGAGAGGAAATGTACTGGGGGTTGGTCTGGCGCTCTGTGTATTCAAACGCTGATTCCTGGACCCTGAGATCTAGTTGTAGTCGGGACGAGGGCATTTTCACATATATTGATCAATGTTGTGTAAACTTTGCTCCCCAATTATCTCTGACTGGTTAATTAAAAAAAATAAAAGCCACACAGCCTATATCTGGACGAGAGAGAAACAGGAATAGGGACTTCCATTGTCTTGGGGTCTCAAATAGGGACCATGAGAGAGACAGTGAAGAAGGAAAAAAAGAAGTGGAGAAAAGATGTGGAGATTAAGAACTGACCTGATGGGGCAGAAACAGCCCAGGCAGGACTAGGGGGAGAGGGGGCGTGGCTGGGAAATAACAAGAGTAGCATAGAGGATTAGTATAATATCTGCCTGGTTATGGTGCCTGAAGCTTATTAATAAATCTAATAAGTCTCTGTCTCATTTATTTGGGAGCTAGAGCAGATGAATAGAAAAGTCCCACCAAGGAGCTGGAGAGGTAGTTCAGAGGTTAAGAGCACTCACTGGCTGTTTTTCCAAAGGTCCTGAGTTCAATTAACCATCTATAACGAGATCTGGTGCACCCTTCTGCCATACAGGCACACATGCAGACAGAACACTGTATAAATAATAAATAAATATAAATAAATAAAAGAAAGAAAGAAAGAAAGAAAGAAAGAAAGAAAGAAAGAAAGGAAGGAAGAAAGAAAAGCCCTACCAAAATATAATTAATCCTTACAGAACTGTGCAGCCTTTGAGACCTTTGCTGAAAGGCCAAAGACAATAGGAAGAATCTAACTAAAAACCTCTTTCAACTGATGTCTGTCATCAGTTCAATAAATTCTTACTGGACTTTTGATGAAAATGGCTAAAAGTCTTCACATCCGTGGGCCCAGTTCATCTGCTGATAATCATCTGTGATGATAATTAGGGTTAGAGGAGATGGTGAAGCAGGGCTCTCTCAATGCAATTGTGCCTTTTAAGAAGAGAGGAAAAAAAATCCCTGCACTCTGCCCAAAGTTTGGCTATGAGTCTCAGCATCTGTTTTGATACCCTGCTGGATAGAGTCTTTCAGAGGCCTTCTGTGGTAGGCTCCTGTCCTGTTCCCTGTTTTCTCCCTCTTCCAATGTCTGTCCTCTTTGCCTTTCTGAATGAAGATTGAGCATCTTACCCAGGGTCCTCTTTCTTGATTAGCTTCTTTAAGTGTACAGATTTTAGTATGATTATCCTATATTATATGTCTAATATCCACTAATAAGTGAGTATATACCATGTGTGTCTTTCTGCTTCTGGGATACCTCACTCAGGATGAGCTAAGAAGCGGGAGGTAGAAAGACCTGGAAGGGACAGGAGCTCCACAAGGAGAGCAACAGAACCAAAATTCTTGGCATAGGGGTCTTTTGTGAGACTGATACTCCAAACAAGGACCATGCATGGAGATAACCTAGAACCCATGCTCAGCTGTAGCCCATGGCAGCTCAGTGTCTAAGAGGGTTCCCTAGAAATGGGGACAGGGACTGTCTCTGACATGAACTCAGGGTCTGGCTCTTTGATCACCTCTGCCTGAGGGGGAAGCAGCCTTACCAGGCCACAGAGGAAGACAATGAAGCCAGTCCTGACGAGACCTGATAGACTATGGTCAGAGGGAAGGGAAGGAGGACCTTCCCCATCAGTGGACTTGGGGAGGGGCATAGGAGAAGAAGAGGGAGGGATGGTGGGATTGGGAGGGGTTGGCGGAGGGGGCTACAGCTGGGCTACAAAGTGAATAAACTTTAATTAATAAAAATTAAATTAAATTAAAAAAAGAAAAAGACATGGAAGCATTTTTCTTGGCCATGTGAGGTCACAGAGAAGAAAGCCAACTACAGATAAGAAAAGTAGCCTTTATGAGGTGCTGAGCTAGCTGCTGACACCTTGATGTTGGACCTCTCAGCCTCTACAACTATGAGAAATAACTGTCTGTGATTAGGAGACAGGGTCTCACTTAGCTCTGGTTGGCTTCAAACTTATTGTGTAGTGAAGATGCTTGGACCCCTGATCTTTCTGCCTCCCGAGTGTTTGGGGTTATAGGCATGCACATGCACATGCACACAAGGCTGTTTTTGTTTTTGAGACAGTGCCACTCTGTAGCCTGGGCACTGAAACTTACTGACTAGCCCAAACCAACCTTGAGCTCATCAAAGCAACCCTCCTGCTTCAGCGTCCCAAAGGCTAGGATTACAGGTGTAAGCTCACTGTGCCCTGCTAAATGTCTTTAACTTGAGCTGCTCCGTCTAGAGTACCTTGTATTAGCATTCTATTATGGTTTGAATATGAAACTGCCTTCCACAGCATTTTCTCAAAGGCTATAGCTTGCCTAGGCCCTTTCCTGTATTCCATTCTCCTGCTTCCTGGCCACCATGAGACCACTCTCTTTGCTCTGCTCTCTTTGTGCCATGATAGACTACATTTTC